GCCTCCATAGCTCAGTGGTTTAGAGCACCAGTCTAGTAAACTGGGGGTCGAGAGTTCGATTCTCTCTGGAGGCAGGACTCCTCGTTTTGAGACCCCGACTCAAGAAAGCGACACCGTATTGCTCCTTGCCGTGTTTGAGCAGTGCTGTACGCCGAGGTCCGTTGGTCTAGGGGTATGATTCTCGCTTAGGGTGCGAGAGGTCCCGGGTTCAAATCCCGGACGGACCCTCTCTTTTTGAGACCACCTTTCATATGTAAAGGAGCGTCAGCATTCTGACTTAAAGTTTTAAAAAAAGAAACGTAAAAGATGGAGCCTCTCCGGCGGGGAATCGAACCCCGGTCTCCCGCGTGACAGGCGGGGATGCTGACCACTATACCACCGAAGATGCGGCCTGGCGGGATCTGTCCCGCCACGCATCACCATCTACTTGGCATATGAGGGACAAACGGACGAAAAGTGGAGGTGCGGGGTATCGATCCCCGTACTTCCCGCATGCTAAGCGGACACTCTACCATCTGAGCTACACCCCCCTGCCGTGGGGGAGGTGGGACGGGCCAAAACTAAATAAAAACCAGCCAACAACAGAGCAAAAATGCCCGAACCAACGCATGCCCAAAACCCGACGCTCGCTCTACTCTGCAAACTCAACAGTGTACTCAGTACACTCTCTTTAGCGTGTACTCACGAGTACACACTCTTCAGCGTGTACTCACGAGTACACTATCGTCAGCGTGTGCTCACGAGCACGTTGGAGTGTACTTGTGAGTACACGCTGAACAGAGTTGTACTGAGCACACTGTTGAGTTTGCAGAGTATAACTGAAACATGAGACGAAAAGGGCGCACCGCGTGTGAGCGCATACGGCCTCATGAAGAAAGCAAACCACTGTGCTTTTCTGGCCTCACGATGATGGAGCGGAGCGCGCGCCGAGAGTGAGCCCATACGGCCTCATGAAGAAAGCAAACCACTGTGCTTTTCTGGCCTCATGATTGCCCCAACCAACGCATGTCCAAAACCCGGCGCTCGATTGAAACATAAGAAGAAAAGGGCGCGCCGAGAGTGAGCCCATACGGCCTCATGAAGAAAGCAAACCAATGTGCTTTTCTGGCCTCATGCTAAAGGGACACTCACTCTACCATCTGAGCTACCCCCCCCCCCCCCCCCCCTTCTCCCTGCCGTGTGGGAGGTGGACGCCGCTGCTCGTGTCTTATGACGACAAAGAGCTGCCATGACTTGACGCCGTGTCGCCGTGTCCGTGTCCCTCATCGGCCCGTGGCCGGTCTTAATGCATTTCTGGAACGTGCATGACATTCTGGGACACTGACGACTTTCTGGATCACTGACGAACAACAGATCCCGTGTGTGACGAGGACGCCGCAGTCGTTCCCCACTGACTGTCACTCTTATTAGCAAACATGCGACCTCTCCATGTCGTCGGTCCTGTGGCGCAACGGATAACGCGTCTGACTACGGATCAGAAGATTCCAGGTTCGAATCCTGGCAGGATCGTGGCGTCTCCCGTTTTGCTTCTTGCGCCGCGCGCTCACTCTCTGTACTCGCTTCGGCGGTACATATACTAACATTGGAACGATAGAGAGAAGATAAGCATGGCCGCTGCGCAAGGATGACACGCGAAATCGTGAAGCGTTTCACAGTTTTTGGCCGCCTTTCGGAGAGGGCCTCTCACTCGGGCCAGTCAGCTCCGCCTTTGCGGCGACACCACCGTGCGATGAGAACCAGACCACCTTCCGAGTCGCTAGTTCCCATCGGCATCGGTGGTTCAGTGGTAGAATGCTCGCCTGCCACGCGGGCGGCCCGGGTTCGATTCCCGGCCGATGCAATTTTGTCGCCAGCCGACACGGACGGAATAAAACACGGCATCGACGTAGGGACGAGACGCTTGGAGCTGCAAAGTGGAGGTGCATCGTCATGGGCCTCCGTGGCGCAATGGTTAGCGCGTTCGGCTGTTAACCGAAAGGTTGGTGGTTCGACCCCACCCGGGGGCGCGTATCTCTTTTGGTGGAAGTTTCATCAGTTGCTTCCCCGCGCAGCCCCGGTAGGATGGTCCAGCAGCGAGCAGGCGGGACCGAGGACCGTGTGGCCTAATGGATAAGGCGTCGGACTTCGGATCCGAAGATTGCAGGTTCGAGTCCTGTCACGGTCGTCCCCGTTCTTATGGCCAGGAGAGCGGGAGAAGAGGACGATTCCTCTTCCTCCCCTTTTTCTTTCTTCTCGCTTTTTAAAAGAAGTGGCAGCGGTGGGATTCGAACCCACGCCTCCGAGGAGACTGGTGCCTTAAACCAGCGCCTTAGACCGCTCGGCCACGCTACCAGCGCATTAATGCCGACTTTCGGCAGCACTGCCTATCAGAGGAAAGACGGGAGGAGAAGCAAAACGTGATTCCGCCCAGGATCGAACTGGGGACCTTCTGCGTGTTAGGCAGATGTGATAACCGCTACACCACGGAATCTGATACTGTCCCACCTGCAACGGACCGAAGCCCATTGCTGTGCGGTGTGGTTCGCCGCCTGTGCCGTTGACACGCAAAAGGAATGCAACAGCCGGGAATCGAACCCGGATCAACTGCTTGGAAGGCAACTATGCTAACCACTACACCACTGTCGCCACACGTGCCCTGACTGCAAAGGGGATGCAAGGAATCGGGCTGACTGCATCGCCAAGGTGAAAGCAGCATCCTGGGCGTGGCGGAGTCAGTTCTTCCATGAGCCCCCATGGCTCAGTGGTTAGAGCACCGGTCTTGTAAACCGGGGGTCGAGAGTTCGAATCTCTCTGGGGGCACGATGCTCTGTACTCCGACTGGTTTTGAACCACGGAGCGCAACCCCCAGCCCGACGCGGACCGTTTATTTTCTTTTACGGACGACGCTGCGTTGCGGACAGGCATGCTTATTAGTTCGACGGACCACGGTACTCGTCATCCGGTATGGTCTAGTGGTTAGGATTTCTGGCTTTCACCCAGGAGGCTCGGGTTCGATTCCCGGTACCGGAATCCTTTTTGCTCTCCGAAAAGAGGAGTTGCTTTCGTCGCGGGTCAGCAGGATGGGTGCTCGGTGCGGCGACACGTGCAGCGTTTCATGTGCAATGGCGGCAAAATGGAGGACGTCCTTCGAGCCGGATTTGAACCAGCGACCTATGGATGCCTGCGCCAGCCCTATCACCTACAGTCCACCGCTCTACCAGCTGAGCTATCGAAGGTGCCTTGCCGACGTTGTGAGCGGCAGTGATGTAACTCCTCGACGTTGAGCGTGCAAGGGGCGCTAGTTAGTTTGGGACCCACCACTCGGACGCAATGCCTCATCTGGATTCCGTGGTGTAGCGGTTATCACGTCTGCTTCACACGCAGAAGGTCCCGGTTCGATCCCGGGCGGAATCACTTATTATGGTCGTCGGCCCGTAGGTATAGCGATTGCGATTGAAACTGTAGCGGCTGATGGGACAGCGACTCCGTGGCGCAATGGTAGCGCGTCTGACTCCAGATCAGAAGGTTGCGTGTTCAAATCACGTCGGGGTCATGTGGCACCCGTGCATACGCGGGCACACATCGCCTCTTCTTTTAGAAACGCTCTGGTAAAGTTAGTTTTTTCCCCCTTATTATTGTTATTATTTATTTTATTTTTTCTTCGCCTCGGGGTAGAGGGGTGGCAGTTGTATCTGATGGGGCGGTGTACTGACGTCAGCCTCGGTAGCGCAGTAGGCAGCGCGTCAGTCTCATAATCTGAAGGCCGTGAGTTCGATCCTCACCCGGGGCACACATGTTTTATCCTGTCGGCGCAACCAAAGAGCGAAAAATCACTACCAGTAAACATTCGCACTATGGCCGGGGAGACAGTCTGAATTTTGTTTCCTTTCGAATAACCCCTATTTGATGAGGACGAGCAAAAGAGACCTTGGCCCATGGGGGGATCGAACCCACGACCTTCGCGTTATTAGCACGACGCTCTAACCAACTGAGCTAATGGGCCAGATGGTGAGGAACGCGGCCGCAGCGGAGATCATCTCGTCACATGGGCCGAGACGGACTGAGTGCACGGAGCGCCTCTTTATGGGTCTGCCGTGTCGCACATGCGCGACTCCGAAATACAAGGATGGTTTTAGAAAAAGAAGTAAAATGTCCCATTCGATTCCTTGGCAGTTGCTCCCTTTTCAAGGAGCTCCCTTTTTTTCGCAATCGCTCAGGCGTTTGTGTTTGTTTGTTTGACACAATTTAAGGGGGAGGGGGGGTAGGGGGAGACCAATTGCAGGGAAAAATGTGTCACTGCCGTGACCAGGATTCGCCTGGTTTTCGCGGCACAACGCGAGTTAACCACGTCGGCCACGTCTGAGGTCCCCATGATGCCCCCTGGGGTTCACCATGACGACCCCCATGTTTCGACGTGCCGTTTGAGGCTGCGGTCTCACAGTGGCCAATCGCCGAAAACCGTTTTCCTCTACGTCCAGGTAGGGGGCGAGATACGCGGACGTACCACGAGCCCTGCCGTCCAGGCGGAGTAGGAAGTGGTGATTTTCGAGGCCTGGGTTCTCTGGCCCACGGGCCTACTTGTTTCCGTCACTTTGACTTCGGACTCGGGTTTAGGGGGGTGCCGCCCCCTCGAAACCAAATTTGTCACGTTCCGGCCGCCGTTTGTCCAGGATGGCGATAAACATCCTCCAATCAGCAAAATAAGTCAAAAAATCCAGCTGTTTGACGCCCGATCCGGACAAACGGCTGGCCGGAACTTGCTCTCCAACCAAATTTGGTTTCGAGGTGGCCAGCACCCCCCTAACCCGATTCCGAATCAAAGTCCGCGGACATCAAGTAGGCTCGTGGCGATCGGCAAGCTTGGCCTCGAAAAAATCGCCACTTCCTCCTCCGCCTGGACGCGCCTCGTGGTACGTCTCGTTCTCCGAAAGTACTGGACGTAGAAGAAACGGTTTTCGGCGTTGGCCCCTGTGAGACCCGGCAGCTCCACGCACTGAGAAACATGGGGTCGTAATGGTGAACCCCAGGGGGACGTCATCGGGGACCTCCATGACGTGCCCGACGACGTAACTCGAGCTTTTTGCGCAAACACGGA